CGTTCTCCCAATTGGCTCCTGTTCATGAAAGTATGGCTTAGCTACTGATATTGAATATCCAGGAAGATACTCCAGAAATCCAGGGCGTAGGAGAACAGAGATTTTTCACACTGGGGGAAACTTCTGTGGGAATTATCCTATGCCCAGACTCCTATTAGGATCATTCCATGGAACTGAATCATAGCCCAAGGAATGTGAAAACACTCCTCTGAGTGGTCCTATTTTGCTGATTATCTTTGTTAGACAGGGTTCTCTAGAGAAACAAAACCAGGACACTTATGATTTTAGATAGATAGATACAACATAAGAAATAAACAGCTAATTAGTCCACAGAGCAGTACAAATGGCTCAGTTCAACTCACTTCCATGAGACAGTTAATACACTGGCAGTCCTTCAACTCATGAGGGCTGCTGGGTGCAAGTCAAGGAAGCAGACAGCTGAGTCTTCTGTAGAGCAATGCAGGCAGTCCGGCCACAGGCAGCAAACAGCACGGCAGGTCACCAACAGTCAGCCAGATGACAGGGTCCGACAGTCCCCAGCTCAAGCGAAGTATACACCAGCAGTGTGGTGAAGCAGGTCTTGAAAAAACCTCAAACTATAACATCATAGTCCATGGGTTGGGTGTCCTATAGGTAGTGTAGCTCGCAAGTTGAGGCAGAAAACTAGCTAAGGTAGCTACACACTGGTCCGATCATCAAAGAGCAAGAGACAAGAAAGGCAAGGCTCGCTGAGCCATTTCTCTCTTTGCCCTTCAATTTAGCTGCAACCTTATTAATCCCACATGTGTTTATTGGCCAGGTTGGCACAATAAACCTACCTACCACACTATCCAAAGAGCCCTGAGAATGATTTTGGGCTGCAGCACAAACACTTTAGGTAACCTTTGACAAGTTACATCAGCTCTCGTGTGATAAAGGAAGATGACCACCAGAAAGACAATGACATTATATGATGAGAGTCCATTGAGCAAGAGGACATAGTTATGATAAATATGTACACACTCAACGCAAAAGCCTCGAAATACATCAATCAAACATTAAAGGGAATTAAAGAGAGAGAAAACCCTACAGCGATAGATTTTAATACAACACTTTCAATGAAGGATGGAGCAATTAGAAAGAAACCTAATAGGGCATAGAAGAGCTGGACCAGACAATCAACCAACTTGACCTCATAGACAGGTACAGAGCACTCCACTCAGCAACAGCCCAAGAGGCATTCTTTTCCAGCTCGCACGAAACTTCTCTAGCATGGACCGTATGCTAGTCCACAAAGCAAGCCTCATTAAATTTTAAAACACTAAAACAGTACATCTTCTCAGACCATAACACTATACAATTAGAAATCAACATAGGAAGATCAAGGGGGAAAATCTCAAACATGGAAATTAAATAATACCTGCCTTAAAACTATGGATAACAGGAGAAATTTTAAAAGCCCTTGAATCAGGGAAGTGAAACATGAAATTTTAAAAGTCGTTGAATTGAATAAGAGTGGAAACACAACATATCAAACGTATCCTTTTGGACCCAGCAAAAGCAGTACTCGAAAGGCAATTCATAGCAATAAATGTGCACATCAAAAGAGAACAAACTCAAATGACCATTGTAACCCAACATCTTGAACAATTAGAAAAGAATGTTTTTTAGAAAGCCTATAGTCACTAGAAGAAAAGAAAAAAACAGCATATTAGAATCAAAGTACATGAAACAAACAAAAAAAGAGGGGGGAATTCAACAAATTCTTTGAAGTTATTAATCATATAAACTACACACTCGAAAATCTAACAAAGGAACAAAGTGGTGGGCAAATGACACAAACAGATGAACTGGGTGGCATCACAGCAAAGTCACTGAAATAGAAATGGCGATGGCAGAGTTCTACCCAGAACTGTATTCTACCGAGCTCGAAGACTAGAAGGAGTGCGCAAATGTCTGGAAACGAAGTACTCATCTCAACCGATACAGACTGGGGCAGAAAATTTAAAATACGCTCATAACAAAAGAAGTAATTGAAGCATTTGTTTCCAAATTCCCAACAGAAAGAAGTCTTGGTCCAGGCAGTTTCACTGGCAAATGATACCAAACATTCAGAGAAAAGTTGACATAATTCTACTTAGATGTTTCCAGATTATAAAAGAATATGGAATATTCCCAAATTTATTTTTAAAATCTAGCATAACCCTTATACTAAAATCAAATGAAGACATCACTGAAAAAGAAAATCATAGGCCCATGTCCTCATGAAGATGTTTCTGTCACTGTTAGGCGCCATTGAGTTACTTCCCACTCACCACGACCCTTTGTGCCGCAAAGCATGGCTTGGTTCTCTCTGCACCATCCTCACAACGGTTCTGATGTGTGAGCCCATTGTCATAGCCACCTCATAGTGCATCTTCTCGAGGGTCTTCCTCCCTTTCACTACTTTCTACTCAACCAAGCATGATGTCTTTCTACACTGTACAAGCTACAGGGTCTTGTCTCTCCTGATAACATGTGCAAAGTACATGAGATAAATCTCACCATCCTCTGTCTAGAAGAATTATGGGTGTACTTGTTCAAAAACAGATGATTTTTGCTCAAGATATATTCAATATTCTTTGTCAATACCTGTGGTAGTTACATAATCTGGTGTCAATTTGAGGATTAAGAGAGTAGGGGTGGAGTCTAGCCTGTCAATCACTGTATAGCCAATGAGGCCTCTCTGTGGGCATGGCCTTCCCTGAGGATTCTGGGAACTCCTATTTTCCTCCTTGGAGGCAGGAGACCCTCTTTATCTCTGCTCACTCCATGAGAGAAGCTCTACTGACAGGACACATGGCGCGATGCTGATAAGCCTATGCCCTGGGAGCTGAAGGAACCACATGGAGACCCCTGCCAACACTGAGATGCTTATGCTGCCACTGGAGCCACAAGACGTCTCACCCACTGGCCTGTGATCTTCCTGCATTCAGTGTCACTGCATGTGTTGCGTGAGTCAAAAGAGGATTTTATGGATTGGTTATCAGACATATGGGCTAATATCAGACTGATGGACTTGATCTGGACTGGGCTGGGATGTTTTCTCAAGATTCAACTGCTCTTGTATATAAAGCTCTTTCTTATACACATGTGAGTATCTCCTAATTTGTTTCTCTCGTCTACCCAGACTAAAACAATACCGTAATTCAAATGCAAAAATTCTCAACAAAATCCTAGGCGATAGACTGCGGCAGAGGATCCCAAAACCCAGTACATTATAACCGAGGGGTTCATATTGTGCATGCAAGGATGGTTCAACACGAGAAAAACAATCAACACGATCCACCACATAAATGAAGCAAAGGAAAAGAACTACATGATTCTAACAACCAACAAAGACAAGGCCTTTGACACAATTCAACATATAGTCCTGATAGAAACCTTCAACAAACTAGGGACAGAAGAACATTTCAGCATATATATAAAAATCAACGGCCATTTGTCTCAATGGAGAAAGATCATATTCCCCTTGAGAACAGGAGCCAGGCAAGCGTGCTGTCCATCACCACTCCTATTCAGTATGGCACTGGCAGTCTTAGCCAGAGCAATAAAACAAGACCGGGAAACAAAAGGTAGACACATTGGGAGATGATATGATCCTATACACAGAACATCCCAAAGACTTACTAGAGATAATTAAAAGATTCAATAAAGTGGCAGAGTACAAGATCAGCATACAAGAATCAGTCATATACCTTTTACAGTAACAATGAGAACTCTGAAAAGGAAATAGGGGAAACAATACCATTTACAACAGCCAACTAAAAGATGAAATTTTAGGAATAAATTTAACAAGAGATACAAAATACCCATATGAACAACAACTACTACAGAACACTACTACAAGAATCCAAGAAATGTATACAAATGTATACCAAAAAATATACCATGCTCATGGATAGAAAGATTTAACTAGTGAAAAAAAACACAACAACAAATACTACCATGTGAAGGCCATTAAGACTCAGCCTTGGAACGGCTGAGAAGATATCAACCCAGGCGTCAGTATCTGCTATTTGCGTCTGTGGTTTGACATTGAGACTAAGAAAAAGAACAAGTTCTGGGAAAACAGAATGTTTAATTTTTTTTAAGGTTTAATAAAGTTTATTTTTATTTATTCTTTTTAACCATTTTATTGACATATAATTCAGATATAATAAATTCAATAGTTCAATCATATTACAAAA